TAGGAAATAGCAATATACAACAGTTTTTTGAAGAAAAACACAATATACAAAGTAAACAATAGATGGTATTTGTGTGTACAGGTGTGTTATGTACAAATGCAAGGAAATGTAAAAAGAAGAATGGTGTGTTAAATAAATAATGAATAAATAGTGTTGTGTATTACATGTTTCATCATGAGATGGATTGCCTGAGGGAAGAAACTGATCTTATGATCTTGGTGCTCTGTAGCGCCGACCAGATGGCAACAGTTCAAAGAGGAAGTGGCCCGCGTGTGAGGGGTCCAGAGTGATTTTACCAGCTGTTTTACTCACTCTGGATGAGTGCCGTTCTTGGAGAGTGGGGAGGGTTGTGCCAGTGATTCGCTCAGCAGCCCGGACTATCTGCTGCAATCTTCTGAGGTCAGATTTGGTAGCTGAGCTGAACCAGACAGTTACAGAAGTGCAGAGGACCGATTCAGTGACTGCAGAGTAGAACTGTATCAGTGGCAGGTTGAACGTCCTCAGCTGGCGAAAGAAGTACAGCCTCTGCTGGGCCTTCTTGACAATGGAGTCAATGTGAGTGTCCCACTTCAGGTCCTGAGAGATGATGGCGCCCAGGAACCTGAATGACTCTACTGTTGTTACAGTGCTGTCCATGATGGTGAGTGGGGGGAGTGCAGGGGGGTTCCTCCTGAAGTCCACTATCATCGCCACTGTTTTGAGTGTGTTCGGCTCCAGGCTGTTATAACGGCACCAGACAGCCATCTTTTTAACCTCCTGTCTGTAAGCAGACTCGTCTCTGTCCTGGACAGTGTTGCCAACTAATTTTCAGGGGAAGTTGCTAAAGGAAGGTCGATTTGTTGCTAAAAGTTGCTAAATGACGTTGTGATGTAATTGCATGATGACATCATTGTGTAATTATGACGCAAAATTGTGTCACTACATCAAGTCTCAGCAAAAAAAATATCTTATATATGTTAATTTAGATAAATATAAGGTAATGTAATATTAAAATATAACTGTATTTTTAAATACAACATTGAATTATTGAACACTTACACATTTTTGAACAATTACAATTTAAGTTTTTTTTATTAGCTAGTAAACTAGTAAAACTACAAATTCTGAAGTTATAGTTTTAAGCAGTGTATTAGTAGTTAGTGTGCTACACTTTAAGAAAAGTCTGTAAAAATAGGGCACAATCTACTATGTTAATGTGAACGAATTTTCCATATTGATTTTTCACAGGTTGTTTACCTGCATTTTAAATTACGCATTGTATTTTGTGTTTTCGGGTTACATGGTTACAACGGATAATGGATAATGTCCTGGAAAATTACCTTTTACATTTTTCTAAATATTTTTCTTACAGTGTACTAACTTATCAACAGTCGCAGGTACAAGCGATTACTAACAAGGTGTATCATAAAATAACAATTATTCAATTATTATTATTATTAAATTGAACAATTGCAAATAGCAGCTAACGTAATTCATGTGATGTGTGTACCACTAGACATCTTTGGTTTCCTCTTGTGTAATTTAGATGGAAAATTTGTGCCTTTTATCGTTTAAATCACCTATCAAAAGTTGCTAAAAGTTGCCAAATAAATTAAAAAAATAGCTACATTTGTTGCTAGGTGCTTTTGGAAGAAAAAGTTGCTAGGTTAGTGTGAAAAGTTGCTAAATTTAGCAACAAAATTGCTAAATTGGCAACACTGCCGACTGGACATCAAAGTACCGCGAGAGCGATTCAAACGCATGCGGAGTCTGGAAAAGTTTGGGAAAAGTCATGGATTTTTTTCCTTAAATCTCTGTATAATAGAATATGTTTAATTTGCTTTCAAGTTTATAATGAGGGAAATTCCTGCAAACATATTCAATAGAGCATGTAGGTTAGAGGAGTAAATAAATCCACACATACTATCAGATTAAATCAGTCATTTGAAAACATCGTGAGTGATTCAGCTGTACCGCGGCTTCACAACAGCGCATCTCGTCTGCACTACTGCACGCTGCGATACAAGACTTTTGCTCGGGTTTCGGGACAGTCGACAGAATTGTCACTTGCCTAATCGAGTCATTGTTGCATCGTCACAAAACTGTATCATTTGCACATCTTTTTAAGTTTAAGCCATTCGATACTCGCGTGCTCCAAAGGGGGTTTCCTATGTGCTCACAGTCACATCCATAGCGCGCATATCGCGCCGCCTCGCGAGTACCAAATTGAGTTATTTTTCACAGCTTGTGCTTACGCAGCCAAATACAGGTGCATCTCAATAAATTAGAAAAAGTTTTTTCAGTATTTATTTCAGTGACTAGTAAAACTACAAATTCTGAAGTTATAGTTTTAAGCAGTGTATTAGTAGTTAGTGTGCTACACTTTAAGAAAAGTCTGTAAAAATAGGGCACAATCTACTATGTTAATGTGAACGAATTTTCCATATTGATTTTTCACAGGTTGTTTACCTGCATTTTAAATTACGCATTGTATTTTGTGTTTTCGGGTTACATGGTTACAACGGATAATGGATAATGTCCTGGAAAATTACCTTTTACATTTTTCTAAATATTTTTCTTACAGTGTACTAACTTATCAACAGTCGCAGGTACAAGCGATTACTAACAAGGTGTATCATAAAATAACAATTATTCAATTATTATTATTATTAAATTGAACAATTGCAAATAGCAGCTAACGTAATTCATGTGATGTGTGTACCACTAGACATCTTTGGTTTCCTCTTGTGTAATTTAGATGGAAAATTTGTGCCTTTTATCGTTTAAATCACCTATCAAAAGTTGCTAAAAGTTACCAAATAAATTTTAGAAATAGCTACATTTGTTGCTAGGTGCATTTGGAAGAAAAAGTTGCTAGGCTAGTGTGAAAAGTTGCTAAATTTAGCAACAAAATTGCTAAATTGGCAACACTGGGACGAGGCTGATGAGTGTGGTGTCATCTGTGAACTTCAGGAGCTTGACAGAGGGCTCTTCTTTAGAGGTGCACTCATTGGTAATTAGAATATAATAAAAAACAAATACCATGGTGTATGTGACTCAAACTATATTACCATTATATTATTCACAAACAGCGGCTTTGAAAGTCTCTTATTATTAACGATGACCAAGGACTTTTATTTTGAAATTATTCTATTGTTCCCGGAAGTAAGGCAGTAATTTAGCTTTCATTCTCAGACGTCATTGTTGTTTAACGCGTTTCCCTTCTAATACTAGTTAAATGTAATTCTGTTCAGCGTTTATGGCATATGGTTCGGATGACACGATCTTTGGTGTGAATCTGTGTTATTGAGTGGTGTGTGTGTCTGCTCTGAACACATGAGTGTGTCTCTGGTTGTGATCAGACTCGAGCTCGCCGATCAGTCTGATTCCCCTCACGGCTTTCAGTACTGCGCCGGTGAGTTTCACTCCTTTACTGTTACGTATCTGAGACTGACTTTGTTTACCATGGTACAGCATGAAGGCCATGTTCATATACCACGGTATTATCATCATATTATCATCAGTGTGCGAAAAGGTATTGCCATTTTTTTGAACATGTCATCAGGTACCATGATATTGTTTGAAGCACTTTGAACTGCAATGTAAATATTAATGTTCTTAGAACTTCTTAAGGTGACATACAGTGACATATGAAAATACCATAATATTACCTTCTGATAAGGGTAATCATACATGCATATGCATTACTTGATTTTCATATATAGAAAAAAAATAAATAAATAAGTGTATTTTTTAGGTAACACTTTACTTGAAGGGGTGTGCATAAGACTGACATGACACCTTCATAATCATGACATGACACGTGTCATGAATATGAAGGAGGTTTTATGCATGTTTATGACAACTGTCATTAAGTGTCATTCGCTCAGTTATGTCATTTTTAATGCAAATATGACATTATTTGACCTAACCCTTACCCCTAACCATAGCCCATAACAAAGACATCTCAAACAATGTCATCTTTGCATTAAAAATTACATAACTGAGCGAATGACACTTAATGACAGTTGTCATAAACATGCATAAAACCTCCTTCATATTCATGACATGTGTCATGTCATGATTATGAAGGTGTCATGTCAGTCTTATGCACACCCCTTCAAGTAAAGTGTAACCATTTATTATAATAATAATAATTATTATATTTTTTCTGGGACCCAAGGTTACAGAGCTTGATAAACAGAAGACACAACATTGAGGCAATTCATTAGAACAAACGGGATAATGAAACAAATACAAGTGTGAGAAAAAAGTAATCATTAACTGGATAATTATTAAAACAATAATAAAAAACAATAAATGATAATATTATTATTATTATATTTTTCTGGGACTCAACAAACAGGATAATGAAAAAATACAATGTGAAAAAAAGTCATCATAAACGGGATAATCAATAAAGTAATAATAAATAATATAATTATTTTTTATTATGTTTTTTCATTATTTATTATTATATTTTTCTGGGACCCATTAGAACAAACAGGATAAAAGTAATCATAAACCGGATAATTAATAAAATAATAATAATAATTATCATTATTATATTTTTTCTGAGACTCAGTAGTACAGAGAGTATAACAAAAACAGTGTGAAAAAGTAATCATAAACTGGATAATCAATAAAAGAACAAAAACAACAACAATAATAATAATTTTTTTTTTTTCTGGGACCCATTAGAACAAACAGGGTAACGAAAACAAATACAGTGTGAGATATAAAGTATAATTATAAACGGGATAATCAGAATAATTCAGTGTATCAGTAACAGTAGAATCACTGACCTGAGCTGAAGCATGAGACATTATGTTAAATGTGGTGATCGTCTGGTTTTGTGTTAACAGAGAGCATTCACACACTCAGCTTGTTTCTAGAATCTCTTTGAGGCTTTTATGTTGAGGTCTGGTGTCACAGCTCACATCTCCTGCGTCCCACAGTTTCAGAGATGTCAGAGGAGGAGATGAGAGAGAAAGCGCTGGCCTCCGCTAGAGCGACGCTGGGCGGTAAACCGGAGCTGGAGCGAGCGGCCGTCCTCCACCAGCACCTGGGCAGCCGCGTCATGAGCGACATGGTGATCGAGACCTTCCAGCCCAGCGCAGGTCTGCAGCGCAGTTACTCTCTTTGATTTGACAGCCGTTTGACCAGTGAGGAGTAAACAGACTGTTTTTTCCATCAGGAGTTGAGGACGGTAAAGAAGATCTGAAGTCCACAGATGACGGAAACGGAGAAGCTAAAGATCAAATGGACGTGAGCGGTACTCCAGACTCTCCCTCCAAACAGCTGCCGGATCAGATCTCCTTCTTCAGCGGAAACCCGTCAGTGGAGATCGTCCACGGCATCATGCACCTCTACAAAACAAAGTTAGTTCTATCTATCTATCTATCTATCTATCTATCTATCTATC